CTAATGTCGCCCTTGGATTACAGTATCACCATAGAGTAGAGAGTATAAATAGAAGGGCAGGGGAGGGCTGAAATATTACAAAAGACATCTGGTGGCCTGTTATCAACCAGACTTCCATGTGGAGTGCTTCGTGGTCGCGGAATCGGGAATCGACTCATTCGGAGATTCGACCCAATGGGATCCTTTTACGTAACGCGCGTTGAGTCCGCTGCTCGGCCATGGAACAGTTTTTTATGTTCACCCGCTAGGTGGATCATCGACAGAGACGTTCGTATTCCGACCCCGTCAATGAATGGGGTTTCGAACGGAGAGTCGGTTTCGCTTCTTATTATATCTCTGTATCTCTATGAATCACTCTCTGTATCACTTTGTCTTCATCAAAATATTTATCGGTATTCTGGCTGGCATCAATACAGGGTCAGCAGAATCCCATCCTTGGGACTGGAATGGGATGACTGATGTTGCTCCAATTGTGAGAATGGATGATGAACACCGATCATTTGAGAACACGGTCTCCTTTCCATTCACCTTCCTCATTTCACAAATTCCCTATCGACGATCGTTTAGATGGAATGCGCCGGACGAGTATATAAACCGTTCCGTTCAAATGAGGAGATAGGAAACGTGGGGGCTTCCTAGGCCAATGTGCATGATACTGTGAATTTGGGGCGACGCTCTTCCTTGTTTGACCTCCCTCGCGTCTCACATTCTCACGTGTTTCTGCATGTAAATACGTACGTGAGAGAGAGAGAATGGCTGTAGGGTCCGGCGCGACTTCTACTGGCGCCAGTTACTTATTGATTTTTCCCTCTTCCTCTGGTCTCACGGACTTCATCGAAAGCTCCGTTCTGTCTGTGTTCGGGACGGCTTTTGAGGCTTTTATGGAGCCAGTCGTTTCACTTCTTGACGCCAACATGCGGCGTGATGGAAGTACAGGGTTGTGCAAAAGTTCCCGTACACTTTCTTTTCCTTCTCTTACACTTTATTTTTTTAATTATAAAGTTGAATTTTGATAAAAACCTCAACCTCAGCTTGTTAGTATAATAATTATGTACAACAACAACAACGTGAAAAAGATAAATGAATCAAATTCTAAGCATATGCTCAAAATTGGCGCCGTCCTCCTTGATACACTCTCGGAGTCGCTCTGGAGCATTGCAAATGATGGTTGCCAGCTGTTCGACGTTGATTTCATTCCAAAAGCGCGTGGCAAAGCCCCCATCAGTGCCTCGGTGTTGCGAAAACGGATTCCCGAGATCTCTTGCTCCCAAGATCGACCAGACCGAATAACACATCGGGTTCAGATCTGGCGATTGCTCCAGACTTCATCCCTTGCTTGCGAAGCGCGATGGTAGCGCTTCGATTCTCTTCGAGAGTCATAACTCCAGAGAAAATTTTCAAATGAAGACTGAAACTTACTATAATGAAAAGATTTCGTATCGGAAAAGCCCGTAAAATAAAAAATACATTGGAATTGCCAAAAATCCGTTGATTAGTGAAAAAAAAATTAGATTTTCGAAGTGTACGGGAACTTTCGCACAACCCTGTATGCCATGCTTGGTATTGAAACATGTACACAGGTTTCAATCCATTCTTTGGGGCACAAATGACTCTTTTTCAACCTGGCAACGACTTACATGACAGTTCTATACACGTCAGAAGACAGGCTCATGGTTTTCTCTCCATTACTAAATATTTTCTTTCCACTGAATTCAAAATGTAATTCTTCATCCCATTGGTTAACGATCTCCAACAAGAAAAAAACAGGAAAAGAACATTTTCTCCCGTTTTCTTCAGTTTTTGGTCAATGTAATGAAGAAAAAATGCGCAAAGAGTTGAATTTGACTTCTTTTTGTAATACATATTTGTAATATATTTCGTTTCGCCTCTTTTTCGAATTTTCATGACGCTGAGAATAGGCGGTAGAAATGTTACTTTTAGGAGCGTGGCTCATTTTGCAAAAGTAGGTTCATTCAAATATTCATTTCTGGAAAAGTTGCAAGTATAGTATTTTGAACATGGTCTCGCATGAAAGAGAATTTGAAGGAAATTCTGAGAAAGGCCTAGCACTCGAAATAAAAACTTGCCGACAAAGAAAAAATACTCCATGAAAATGGCCGAAAGTGAAACTTTTCATCAGCCACTGTCTACTGAAATCACAGTAAATTCCTGTTCCACTTGTAGCATACTTCTCTCGTCTCCCTGGAAAGGGAGAGATAAGAAACATGCACATCTCCATGCCCCTGATAACGAACAAGAGTCAACCATTGGTGTTATGAAATTATAGCCAATTATGGCATGTGCTGCAAATGTCGGCACTGGGGGTAATCTCTGCATTTTGCAATCTACAAAATTCTGGTTCATCCTCTTGTGCCCTATGCAGAGGTAGATAAGTATCCTCAGATGATATGACTAGTGTTCTTAAAATGTGTTTGGAACAGCCCTATTTGCTGTTGTTCTCTCGCAATGGCCACTTTCTCTAAGCGCACTCCGAAAATTGTGGGAAATCTTGGGGTTTTGCTAGGCTTTCGCACATTCCGTTCTCTTCCACATTAGGTATTGTTTTTTTACAGGTTGTTGCATTCATATTTGGATCTGTTGTGAACGACAGTGATATATAAGTGTGCCGAGATTCCCGACTGGGTGGTGCCATCTATACTAGCAAGTGTACTGAGATTGCCAACATCTGACCCAACATCACCTTTGACCCAGGCCCTCAGAAATGAAAGGTCGGGGGCACTCGAGGTTTGCGGTATAAGAAGGTTCATAATAAAAGGTATCACCGGACCCATTATGAACGAGGAAGCTCCATTACGAAAACCAGCATGCAAAGTGGAAGTGCAGAATTTCCTTAGAGTGCCGACATTCGCGACACTCACCCTAGCGTGATTGCGATCCAGGCCAATTCGTTCAAGGATGTTGCAAAGCGAAAAATAATGAGGCAAGGAAGGGAGGAGGTAAGAGAGGAGGGAGGCGGATGAGTGGAATAAAGTGAAAGGACAAGGCTCTTATCTTCTGATTCGAGAGCTCTAAACAGCGTTTATGGGACGCAGAATGAAACTGGAAGAATGTGTCAGAATGGGCTTGAACTATTACTTATACTGTTTGTATCGACAGATCATTTCCCTGCCATAAACGAGATAGTGTAGTCCAATTCAGAACGACGACACGATAAGAGAATGGAGGCGGAAACGCATTTGAACAAGGGCGGAAAATGCGTGGATATGGGTCTGGGTAGGATACTCTTCGTTCTTGTCTGGCAGCAGATGACGCGATAGAATTTTTGAATACTGTAAAAAAAAAAATATCCATTCTGGCCAATCTTTTTCCATACCTCTCATGTAGCCGGATCTGGATCAACTGATGTGCAAAAAATCTCAGCCTTGCCGAACGTCTTCATCGCAGTTTACTGCAATGCGTTCGTGCCATGGTGGAATAGGTGCCTGGAAAATAATTATTAGGATTCCACATTGACGCGACTCATCCACGTCGTCCAAAAAGACGTTAGCAAGAGTATCAGATACGTACTAGCGGCATGTGGTCGCAATTGTAGGCCTTCTACCAAAAGACCTATACATCTTGTCGCGGCCCGTCTAATAAGAACAGTTATAGATTCCCGCTACCAAAATTCGATCAATAACCAAAAATTAGTTCAACATGTGTAGACAAATATGGTAGGAACAATGAAATATCAAGAAACGCGACCCATGCGTCAATAAAACGGAAATGAAATGGATGGTCCCTAAGAATGAACTTGACAATCAAATAAATACTTCTTCATAGACACCATTTTCGTTAACGGTGCTAGCATCTTTTGCTTCGGTCCATCGATAACCTAAATCTTAAGCGAATCCTCAGAGCGAACTCGCGAGAAGGCAACGTATATTTGACCATGCGGGAATACTGGTTCCGGAAGCAGTAATCCGACTCGATCTAGTGACTGTCCCTGCATCTTGTTTACAGTTATACCGCAGGCAAGGTAGTTAGGGAAATGACGGCGACGAAGATCGAACGGCATGCTGACGTCGATGACGTGTCCAGTGAAACCCTTTGCATCAAAAGAACGCTGTTCCGAAGCGCACCCGTGATCTCCTAAACATTTAACACATTTGCGTTCGTGTGTCTTATATGCGTGCCGCTGCAAAGGTCGTTGCCAGTCGGGAGATTCCACAGAATCATTACGATAGCGACATTGGTGAGGTTTAGGGCGTGCGAAAGGAGACCCGGAGGATTGAAACTGTTGAAGAATGGAATCGGAAAGTTGACCTGCTGACCGGCATCATCGGCCAAAGGAGCTCATTCTTCAGACACAGAATGGCGCGATTGCTGCTCCCTCTGGCATCGCAGACCCTATGTAGGGCGGGGGGAAGAGGTGGGTGCGATTGAATGTCCTGGGTTCGGTGGTGTAGTGGTAGCACACCTGACCGGGATACGGGAATCAGGAGGCCCGGGTTCGATTTCCGGCTGTTCCGTGGTATTCCTTCGTCCTCTCATGCCATCCAACTCCTCCTTCTACAGGCCACCGGCCTTTACACCTATGCTGTTGTTCAACTAGCTCGCTCACCAAATTTTCAAAAATACAATCGTCTGATGAACGCTGGGAGAGCTCAGATCATTTACCCTGTACCCGTGGAAGTGTTTCGCTGCCTACATAGAACATCAATCGAGCAAATTGAATTTCAGTTGCAGCAGCACGCATGTTCACTTGGAGGGGAAATGTAATGCGTTGCCATTAGCCAGGTAACCCTAAAATGAAGTGGGTCACTTCAATCACTTCCTCACTTTCTCTTTGACATGGACATGTCAATGAGAAAGTGAGGAACCTAATGCACATTCTTTGGTGCACATTATGTACCAGTTCCAATGTAATAGCTTTTTGAAAAGAGTGCCATCACTTCAGGCTTAACCTATATTGGAAAATCTCCATGTCATCAGGGTCATTCGGGAATGAGTTTAATCTTTTCAGGTTAAATAAATAATCCCCGCACTACTGCCATATTTTACGTAGCCTTGAAAAACAAATTTCATGAAAAATATTTGTATTTAATCATTGAAATTAATTTAAAATTTCAGAAAAAGTAGTAGTATTCATCTATTTTTCTGTCACGCCTTAATTGAGAAGTTCCCTGAGAAAAAGGCGCATGTGCAAAATATACAATTCGAGATTAACGGCAAAAAAGCTAGGACATAGGATAATATGCAGCCGTTCAAAACTCAGTTTTCAGTTACATAGTTCCTTATACCTTTTACATATTGGACTTGGAATTTTAACTAATTCCTTTTTCTCACATTGCAGGGATGCATGCAGAAAGCGTTGATCTCCATCTTCCTCTTTAAGCGTTTATACACCTATTCTCTATATCCGCGCTGTTGAAACTTTTTCCAGCCAGTGTTACACCTCTTCTTTCTAATTAAAATTCATGACTTTCCAGTAAAAAAATCAACTAATTTAAAATCAACGCTTCCTCAAAGAATGACTATACAAACTTGAATGTTGAGGGCACTTCCCAATCACACATTTCTAATTCATGATGCGTTATCAATTTATTAATCATCGGAATATGAAAAGGAGGTTGCCAGCTGTCTATGAGACCGTTGCCCCCAGCATTACAAACCAAAACAGGTATCGATAGCTCTTGATGAGTACATCAAAGTTGTCAATGGACATGAATCTGTCAGACAGTGCAATCATTGAGTTATAGGTCATCAATGTTCAAAATTGCAATAATTATTTTGCAACGTTTGTTAACCCTTTAATGCATGATGTTTTCTTTTTCGGAAGAAAAAATCTGGCAGGCTTTACTCACATCCTAGATCCATTAGAAAACAATTTTTTAAATCAAATTTGTAAGCAGTAGCCCCGAAAGTGTAATTGTTGCTCATTTGCTACTAACATTATTTCCAGCTGCATGAATGCTAAAGAGCTCAGTCGGTTTGTCAGCATTCGTGCTGACAGAACAGAAAACAACAACAGAACAGAACAGAAAGCAACAGAAAAGAAAATGTGAAAATACGGAAGATCCTGGAATCTGGATTAACGTAACGTTTAAGAAAATAAATTTAAAAGTAAAAAAAAGTCAATCTAACATACGACGAAACCAGATGGGTTTTCGTTTGATTGTCACCAGGAGTGTATGGCACCTAGCGATAGCATAACTGCCAGGTATCAGGACAGGACTCCCTAGTAGCACACACCATTATCCTAGTAGTACATACCCTAGTATCACATGGGATCGTGCTAGATGACATTGTCCAAGTAGCACATACAACCTTTCGAGGAAGTTCATCATGTTCTTGAATAGGTCTCTGGACATCCAATGTACCGGAATGAGCATATTTTTGGTGCTCAGTTAAGGTGCCTTTTAATCACGAATCATTCTGTATTTGAAGGACATTCGTTGAACGTTTATGCTATTTTCCTCGAGCATATCATTGGTATCCATCTGAAAAATTTTTCCGGAGAGAAAAAAGGGTAGCACTACCGAAGATAGATGGCTCCAAATTACAGTAGTCGCTATAACGGGTCAATTCCTGATACAGCTGGAATTAGTTCCCGATACTTTCCACAATGTAGCCGATCTTTCTCCACATAAACCAAAGCGGAAGATACTCAAGTTCTTGAACAAATCCGTCATTGGAGATAACCCAATCCAAGGACTCTCCAAAGAACGATAGAGGGAGGATGATTAAATTTCCAAAGTGACTTCAAGGAAACTAATTTCAGCATGCATAAGTATATATCTCAAAAAAGGTGCTTCGATAGAGGGAATGTCTGACTCCTGAATTTAAGATATCTGCAGATAGGATGAAAATTTATGTCGTTAGACTGAATTTCTCAACGCTTCTCCCACAGACTATCCCAGTCAATGTAATATAGTACCTTCAATCCAACTAATCGGTCTCGTGAGTGGGGCTCTACTTAGACCGAATGCAATTGAAATGATGAAAGAAACGCATCAAAAACGTTCATTGCATATCGGATAAATAATATAAAGTTTTATTTAACCCTTTCCATGGAAATATAAAATTCACGAAGTTCAAGGAACTCATAAATTGTACTGTTGTTCATTGCTTGGTATTTTTACCATTGAAGCTGTTAATAAAACGCTCGAAAGGACGTTAATGGAAAGCTGTCAATAACTTGAATGAAACATACATTGAACACGTTCGGGTGTTACTGCGGTGGTAGTCTCTGATGATCATGGTGACTCCTTCCACGACAGCAGAACATTTCATTTTCTCCTATTTGCAGCAGGTTTACTTGCACTTGTTAGATATTAATAATTTGCATTCTTAGATTTTACATTCAGGACACCAGAGATGGCTTCCCTTAGATTTATTTCAGGTGAAGGGCTGCTCCGATGCTTTTCAAAGAGAGGAACTACAGCATAACACAAATCAAACCAAAACCGCAGCCCAGGCAGAGATCTGCCATTCAGTTGGCCCCTAAACCATTGGAATTATCTTGGGCAAATCATTCAAATCGAACCTTGAAACTAGACATTTTTCAATGCTCCGAGGGTCAAAAAAACCTTTCCTGCATTCCGAGAATACAACCCTGTTTTCTAGGGTAAAATGTATGCTGTGTATCAAATTTAATCCAGACTAAGTGAGATGAAAAGTTTCATGCGCTCATCAGCAATAATCCAGTAATAATATAATAATAATAATTCTCAATCAACTGAATCACTTTATCCTACCCGCATGAATTTCACTGGAACCGAGCGACAAATGTGATCATCCATACATTCATACATTGTAAATCAAATTGGAACTCCCTCAACAGTCACTGCCATGTTAGGCACAACTCAATCTTGACTAAAAGTGATCAGGAGCTGATAGGCATGCTACTAGGTACTCCCCGATTCCCGAAGGAAACGCCATTCATACTTAGAAAAAATATATTTCTTATTTATCATTTTTCGGAAGAACTTTGATATTTGCATCGGAAGTAAATCAAATCTATATAACAACATGTATTCCTTTCAATACCATCGGCTTGTTTGCAAATATAATGTCCTGCTTCCATTACAATACTTGCTGGTAATCTGAACCATATAAAGATGCCAATGAAAACACTTCAAATGCAGCATTCAGCAGGTTTCTGCTTGAGTAAAAAATATAAGGAACTTATTCTGGTTGAAAATAAAGACCATACAAAGAACGTCAGCAGTATTTTCAATATATATTGTGAAAATTTCTCCAAAAGGTGCCGAGAAGGCAAACATGTACGTGGTAGTCGCTGTTTTCGTTGCGGACCTTTGAACGTTTCTGATAAGCTAGATGTGGGTCGGATTAAAATGAACTCGTTGATCAGGAGGAACCTAAAGGTTTGCCGTCGAAAACGAGATGGGAGGTTAGAGAAAATGAGATAAACGTTTGTATCCCATTCATCTATTAGAAGTAATTGCTGTGTATTGAATCTCATTTCCATTCTGTTGCATCTGCTATGCCGTACTTGTTACTTGACCTACAGTTACCATAATAATGATCAATGGTCTGTTTCCTAATTCCAGCCAGATTTTTTAAAATTACAATTTCTTTCCTTCTGGAGAAGAGTTTTGAAACAGAATTTTGCATCTCTCAACCAAGAACGAGGATGTTTTCTCTTCAAGCCACATGCGACTTTTCTTGATCAAAGGTTTCCAGTGATCTTTGTAGGCAGACAGCTTCAGCTCCATGAAAGCAACTGCCACTGCAGTAATCAACTCTTCAGAGCCGCATTTGTTCTTCCTTCTTTCCTCGGAGAGTTCTCGCTCTGTCAAGCCAAAGATTGCCAAGAGCTTCTGATCGAAAGGAAATGATCCATCGAAGAGTTGCATTTTTTTCAAGAATTCCAGCTTCTCCTTATCTGTACGAGTCAGCTGTGCTCTTTTCAGATGTTTAATCATTCGTTTAATTCGTTTAAAAGAATGCTCCTTCTTTATCGAAATCACATCCTCTTTCCCTTTCTCTTCATCTTCCGCCAGGTCCGTAGTTACTTGTGGTTTTTTACTTTTGCTTCTCGAACATTTCATCTCGAACATCTGGAAGGAAAAAACCGAATGTTTTATGAAAAAATTTACCAAGAACGTTAGATGAGGCCATCACGCTGACACACGATGATACACTTCATGTTGAGTTATTCAGCAGAAGATTATGCCCCGGCGCTTAATTATTCTGGTAGAAATGTTAAAAATTATTATTACGATTCTCGCGCATGAATGAAACGCAAAATTCTATTTCCAAATGTGGTAAGTCGATCTCAGTTATTGGACTTAGGTTATATGACTGAACGCGAGATCAATTTTTTTTTAAAGTACCCTCCTCCAGGACAACTCGATTTGAAACAAATTCATGGTTTCAGGGGCGTTGAAAATACTCAGTGTGTGGTACGGTTGCTACGCTTCCTTTACTTTGACTCAGTCCTCTCCTTTGAACTTGTTTCAAGAGCAAATTAAGATGAGATGAACCAATATGTGCTTAGGAACATGAAATGCCCATTTTGAATGTGAACGAAATATGAAAATGATAATTGATAATGATAATTCGGTGGATGACATAGAGTAAGATGTGGAAGGCGTTGATGGAACGTAGAAATTAGACATATTTTAATCAAAATTGAGTGATTACTTCAAACAAAGTGTAACACATGTGAACATTCGTATGTAAGATTTTAAAAAACTTCAATGCGAAAACGGCTGAATTGGGAGGCCTTGATTCTTCGTCCTGGACGTGCCGATCAATGCATACCTCAATATTTGAGTGCTATGATCTCCAATAGAAGGTAGTGACAGTCTTACGCTGCAGAATTCCTTGAAATGAGTGCGATCAGACAATAAAATTTTCCTTATCTCATTAGCTGCATTATGTCTGGCAAACATTGGAATATTTTTGAGCGCAAGGGTCGAAGCTACTTGAAATGAATGTCACTTCTATGTCGCATTACAGTCTCAACTGGAGAGGATTATTGGGCATCATCAAACCTCCTCCAGAAAACCACAAATATTCTGCCATTATGAAATATTCCGTGGAGGATGTCAAAATGAGGCGAGGGATAGTTGAGTTGAAGAGAGCCGTTAATGAAGTCCCAACTGAGTCGTTAGGTACTCTACATGGCAACAATGCAGGCCGCTCGAACATGATATTCACCTTAGATTCACCACAGATTGACTGGGATATGCCTATTCAGTAACACACTTTGGCTTATAGGAAGCCTAATGGAGGCAAGAGAAAAACAGAATGACAGGTGATAGGGCAATTTTATGGTCGAGCGTTCATAGTGTTTGGACATGTTAGAAGGTGCTTTCCTGGTCTGACGGTCAAGTCGGGAGTTATTCGTAGATTTACGACCTTGCATAGGAATTGGAATATTTTTTGATACCTCAAAATTGCTGATGCTTTTATTTTTTTAAATCTTTTGTCATGTCTTGTGAAAGGACAGTATTTGGTTTTTCAGACGCACCGTATACATTTCCTTCGATTATAATTACATTTAAATTGCTCTGAATAGTTATTGCTTTATTATATGGCCATTTTGAGCCCTTTCTCTAAAACACATCACAATAAGTGAATAAATTAGATTTTTTAGGTAGGATCATACATTAGAATGCTAGGACCCCAGACGATTTTTTAAGTATTGTTTTGCGCTTCCTGAGGGGGAGAGGGAATATGTTACATATATATGTCAATCACAATATGTATGAGTGACTCATGCAGATTTGGGAAGAATCGAATGGGAATAAATTATGAACAATTACTCATCAAGCGTGAGAGGCCTAAGGTATTATTTGAAAACAAGCTGAATATGAGATTCGTAGAAATGGAGGACTCAACTGAACGAAATATTCTTGGTTAGTTACCATAAGTACCTTACAAAAATGGAACTCCAAGGCGTTATGCACAGAGTGCGGGAAGCTTCCTGTTGGGGGATTGGCAGAATTGACGTCCCTATCCAAACCTTGAACCTTGAAACTTGAGCCAACAACCTTCTTAAAACGCGCATCCATCTTCATTTTCATGGCATTTCAGAAGAATACACAATACTTTTTTTAAAGTGTGAGACTGTTTCAGAACCCCACCGAGATATCTCCTATTTCTGTTTGACGCATAAAGTCTTGACACGAGAGGGACCTTGCGCCATTATACAGGGTGAGTGAAAAACTCTGGACACATAGGAAACTGAGCTCAATATGCGTTCCATCCCAAGAGCAAAGGTACTGACAATACGACTGGCAAGAGTACAACTCCTAAAATGTAACAAGATGAATTTCATTTGCCAGTGAAATATTGTATATTCAAGAGAAAGAAGATGCCTCATGTCTCTAAAATAAAATGTGAGCAATATTAGTACGTAACAAAGAGAACGTTATGCTAGAATGAAGCACTACGTTTGGAATAAACAATGTCTGGGATAAATGCAACAAATAAATAACCAATCTATGGTGGTTGTATCATCCGCTTGAGGTGCTTCGATATCATTTATTGGCAATGTACTGTTTTGATTCAGTCACGATTGTCCAAATGAGGAAACGTGAAAACTATATTCAAAGGCTTCCTCTTTCTTCAACCTTAACCTCAACCCCACATTCCTCCATTTTCCACGGGACGCACTAACGTGAGGCAAAGGCTAAACCGACGGTCTGCAATCAGGTCAGGCCTACGAGTAAGTCTACGTTTTTTAATTCTAAAGAACAAGTATCTTCGACTTACCTGGGGAACTAAGCCTATCATGATTAATTTCTCATCTAGACATTCCGTCAAAGGCGTGTTACGTTATGCCAATCGCATGCCTATTAAGTCCCTCACGACCAATTTCAGAGGACTTGTACGACTGAACGATTAGAAGCCCGTTTCGAGTTTCATAAACCATTTCAGTGCGGATGACGAAACGTTAAGCCTCTCTGGAGTTCCTCAAACCATCTCGATTAGTTCTAAGTATAGAATGTCTTTAAGAAGCATGACATACAAGTTGTGTGCTATTCTGCTAATTTAGGTGCGTCCGGATGGATTATATCCATAAACAAAGTCCAACAAAGTCGCTATGGTGGCCCCTTCGGCATACTATTGCCTTGGAGATTGATTAATTCATTTTTATTCATTGCGAAATGGCAAACATGTATTTAAAATACGTCCCGATTGAAATACGTTACATATGGGGACGAAAGTCTTGATTTTTACCAAAATCTTTACTTCTATTATTTCTGATGTGCCTAATTTTAAATATTTCATGTGTCCATTTTTGCAAGGGTCCAGAATACATTTTTAATTATTTCCCTCCTATAATCTACGCTAATGGACCATATTTCGAAAGTACGATTTTTCTTGTACTCAGCCACCAAACAGGTACTTCTCAGAGATTTTTAATATTCTATCTCTGTTTCATTGGATGAAAAAGTACTTGTGTAGTGCTAGGGCCAGGATGGCACTTTGCCTAGCACCGTGGGTTAAAATGAAAGGCCAGTTGGGAGCTCCATAATTAATCTATTGGTTTGACATTTGAAAACTAATAAAATATATGAAAATAAATAAAACAAATAAATAAATAAATAAGTGAAAGACAAAAAACAATGACTCAGGCAATAGGCCGGAATGTAACCAACGGGCAAATCAAATCATTATTGGCAGGCGCTAGGCCATGTAAAAACACTGGATAAACAGACCAGCCAGACTTTAGGAAAACCAGCAAGGGAATGTGCAGACCAGCAAGGCTCGGCAGACTCAAGCACACGAAACAAGCGTCAACACCGGAAGACGGGCTCCCCCTGACACACCCCCAGCTCTGGCTGCTCTCTCGTGTATCTGTTCAAGTGTCATGTGGGGTAGAGGAGAACCCCCACTTGGAGCTGTTAGAGTGTTCAACCACGTCCATGCTTGATAAGTACCATTCCTCGGCTGAAAAGCAGGCACAGCACACAAGATTTGTCCTCAGAGCCTCTGACTAGCTAGTCCAGCAACACTGGATGCTGATCGTGTCGTCTGCTCCTTAGAGACGACACTACACTTGAGGAAAATGGTACTTGATAAAAGTGCCCTGATGGGTTTTAACGAAAATTTTTTTTCTTCTGAAATGTAGAGCCAAGGAACTACATGCCACCGAGTTTCAGCCTTATACGTTATCCCTTTTTACTGGCGGTAAAAATCATATTTTGAAAAGCGACTCACCCAAAAGCTGTGCTCTGAGAAGACGCACAGGAAAAGTTGAATTTTCCCCTAAAGCAACATCACGTTATGCGTACGCCAGCTGTTACTTTTCTATTTCTGCCCGATTCGCTGGGATATGAAAAATTCTTTGAAAACATAACGCCCCCAAGAAATCCCCCCCCCCCCCCAAAAAAAAAAAAATTCCAATATTTTGAAAATTTGACATTTTTCCTGAGTTCAGTGCATCAGCAGTCACGATCTTGCCAGGTTTCAGCTCACCATGTGTCTCCGTTTGATTGAAGCAAAGAGTAAAATTTTTGCCATTATTGATGAATGAGAAGAGACGAAGAAACCATTACGTAGAGACTTGCTTACCGTATACCTCGGTGTCCTATACATTGGCTCAATCCGTTTTTCATGCGCAGTCCGTTTTACTGGCGTTATTCCGCTTCTCCATCCGTCATATCCCTTAGGCATCATGCTTGGAACAATTCTTGGAATAAAAGCGTCTTCTTGCATTTGCCCCTTCTCATCAACGGCGACGAAGGACGTGAGGCTGGATCCTATGTTGTATTTGATACCTAGCTGAATAGCAATGTTCTCCTTGTTCAATCGATCGCCTTTGTTCAAATTCGTCTCTTTTAGTTCTTCTTCCAACTCTCGAATGATGGACCGTGCTGCCAAAGTGTGGACGATGTCCCCCTCTCTAACTTCCTCGCATTTTACAGGGAATGCCTTTTCCAAGCGCCCATCAGGAGAATCTGCGCTCAACGCTATCTCCACTGGGATAATCTCAGGATTATTGTAGATGCAATACGCCGTATAGCAAGCACCATTCAGAATGCTAGGCAAGTTCTTGACGCTGATGCATGGGTCTGTAACATTGAGGTCGCAATCCCTCTCAGGTTTTTTCACCTCTGGCAGGCCATACCCTTCAAGTGTTTTATGAGTGACTATTGCACCATTCGCTTCTTCCATTTCTGGCTTTGGAATGGCTTGGGAGTGAGCCCAAGTTACTTCAACAGATGTTAGTGATGGTTGTAAGAAAAACTCTCGGAGGTATTGAACTTTCCCTTTTATACTTTCTTTTAGAGTTGCAAAAAGAGCTGCTCCGTTACCGGCCCGTGCAATACCATTGACGAGATGATGACTGACGTCATTTCCTATCCCCAAAACAAAAACTCTCGTTTTGCTCACTTTGCAGTTGTCCCTCACCAGCGAAAAGATCTCCTCTGTGTTGCTGACTTCGCCATCAGTGAGAACGATGATCTGACGAGCATATCCTTCTGGTTGTTTCAGCTTGAAAATGGAGACGAGGGGCTCATGCATGTCTGTGCCACCAAGGTTTGCCTCCATTTCATTAACATGTTGTGTTACCGCGTATTCGCCATCTTCTTCATATTTCTGGCTTTCCTTCCACAATGAGGAGAAATTGGAACCAAAGCTGACGATGTTGAAATACGAATCCCTGGGCATATCCTTAAGGAATGACAGCAATGCCTCTTTGGCCATCTCCATCTTGTCACACATCATGGATCCGCTACGATCAATCATATATATGAATTCATGTTTCAATTTAGTTTCTACCATATTGAACTTTGGGACCATTGTGACCATAGCAGCTATTGTGGAATCTGAACCCTTTTCTAATATCAGTCTTGGCTGATGAGGAGTCTTAAGAAGTAGTACGAAATCCTTGTCCATGTCTGTCGACATTCCTTTGAGTGCCAGCTCAGTTTTGAAAAGTTTCGTGACATCCGAACGCATGTTTTTCGAAAGGAGTTCGATTGAATGAGTTGGGCTCTTGACCAGAGCTTTCTGATGCGTCTCAATAATGGCATGGATTTTCAAAGGGCATGGTGAGAAGGATGAGTACTCGATGGCCCCGATGGTCTTGGTCGCTTCGCTGTTATCTCCATGTGGTACGTACCTCGGGGCAATGGTGGTTGGGAGGAAAAATCGCAATGCGTCTTCATCCATTGTTGCTTGTGTAACATAGGAAATTGTGATTGAAGCACGACGCCCAGCTGGGAGGTTCCCAACATTGGCCACGAATATTTCGGGCGTTTTCTCCTCGACAAGAAATGAAGTACTTCCTGCTTTCAGTGCCTCTTCGTAGAAATCCCTTGCTTCACTCCGTTTCTTCACTTTTCCCAGAATCGTTCTCCCATCAATTTCGGCCACAAAGTTGCAAACGGCAGCTCGGTCATCCATCGGAAATATATATTGTACTTCCAATGGTCTATTTAAAAAAAGGAGGAACACAATCACATGATGGGATCTCATGTTCATCATAGTTCATTTTATTAGTTCATGCATGGATAGGTTTACTGTTCAATAAGTATAGCATGACAGGGAATGATGTGGTAAAAATGGTATGAGGTCCGTCCACAGTTTTCTCCTCGTAGGTTCACAGAAAACATGTAAAAAAAAACCTCCGACTTGACGGCAATTTTGAAGGGGAAAAAAGTTAAGGCTTCCTTTCTAATCTGCAATTCCCATAGGAACTATGGGGAAATGCCAGATATTGCGGTCGGTGTGTCTCTTTTTTTTCATTCCGTCTACCGGATAACATAACCCAGCTTTCCGCCTGGCTCGGGCTGCCCGTCTTCCACTAATACACCCACTTTCCTTCCAGCCCTGGTGGCTAACGGATCCATAGTATACAATGGAACAGAGCGACTGCTCCTGGCCAGGGAGGGTCAAAGGACGCCAAACTCTCCTGAATGATTTTTTTTTAAGTGATGGGATGGCTTTGCAATACGGAATACATGTATGTACAAGTTTGTTAAGTACATTCTAGCAAACAGAAATACAATAAAATAATCATTCATACCCGGAACTTACTTTAATCGAAATCCACTTGAAATTTGACTTAACGCAAGTTTACCTCATTGAGAAACCTATGGGAAAAAATCCAATTCCACTTACTCTGTGAAATGGCTTAATTGTTATCTCAACTATTGAGGACTTTTTGAGCTCGCATCACACTAAAGCACAATGTTCAAGTGGTTTAAATTTGGCTCAGAAAGGTACATACTGATGAAGACTCACATGACATTTAAAACGGATTCTATATTAATTTGTGAGTCTTTAATTCCTAAATGCGATGATAGAGAAGGACATATAAGACGCATTCATTCAATTTCAGGCTTTAGCCATAGGAGGAGCTTCAAGTCAGTTCTCTTGATGAGTAAGGTTTTCCAAAACTGAACTAATGAAATGGGTTAAATTTTTCCACTACATTTCACCCGAACTTGAGCCTCAAGAGAAACGGAATGTGTTGGACATTCAATCCTCTGAATCCACTTCATCATGGATATCTCATGAACGAAAGTGAACAAGTTATGCGCATATTCCCATTATCGTTTTCCTAGCAAGTGATATATTTCCATGTTATCTAAGACCAAAATATCCTCAACGACAAAAAAGTAAGTAATTCAACCCATGAAAGCTCCTCTTTATGTGCTTTCCACAGAGGTATAAACCCTCCAAACCGATTTACTGGCCACCGTGCATGGGTCCTTTTCCTTGCCACGGGCGGTTAGCAATTTAATTACTGGCTTGAGGGGCTTAAGAAGTGCAAGGGATGAAAGTGAATCCTCTTGGTAACCTTAGCTCTAGGACTTGGTTTTGGTATTTAAAGGTGAAAGAGAATCCTTTTCGTAAATAAGGACCCGAGTGAATATCCAATCACTTGCTTCATCTGAACGAGAAAATATCTGAAGATTATGTCTTACTTGAACTCCTCGTTCTTGTAGGTCTGAGTAAGGACAACCTTGATGGATGCATCCAACCAGGTGACGTCAGCTGATACTTCAGTCAATGGAATTGGATGCACCTTCCCACGAGCTCCGTTCCGAGTCACCAGACCGGAATTATGGCATCTACGAGAGTAAAGAAATCTATCTTTCCTCAACAAACACTAAGGAACACCTAGTCCACTGACTAAGCATTGAGTAGCTGAGATGTCTGACTCCTATATATAAGGGAACAAATTTTTCATCATCATTGAATATTAAAAGACAAGTGAAACGTTCATATGGATTAAACATTTCACACATGATGTAAAAACAGGGACGATAACAATTGTGGCCCTGAACCTACTTGGTTGGTGATGAAGGTGTCACGCTTCGATGAGTAATATTCTGAGAAGTACTGCAATGCATTTCTTCCAGGAGGTTCCCGGTCCTCTCTCTCACCATTTTGGAATCTACTATCAAATGAAACGTCACAGGGAATATTTCTTTTTCATGTTTTGCCAAACCTCATTGTAGATAGTTTTGATTCAGTGATCACAAATGCATTACATACATACTAGCGGCCTATGACCGCAATTGCGGCCTTTCTACCCGTTCATGTACTTTTTTCTCACTGCTCATCAACTAAGAACAGTCTTAGCCAGGTTCCCGTTGCCAAAAATTTATCTACATTCCACAATGGAACATTATGCATCAGAGAGATGCTGAGGCACAGCGAACTACATCTGCCAAAATGCGCAAATTATAACCAACATGAGTTTAACATGGGTAAAGTAAGTAAATATGGAAGGAACAATGAAAGATCAAGAAACGGGACATACGTGGGAACAAAACGGAAAGCTTATATCATAATGAACAAAAATAATCCCGAAGACCACGTCGTCGGTAATGGTTTTAGCCTCAGTTTCGCCCTGCTTCGGTCCATTGATAACCAGAGTCTTTAGCGAATACTCAGAGTGAACTCGCAAACAGGCAATTTACAAATGCCATGCATGGATACTGCCTCCGCAAGTAGTAATCCGACTTGAACAAATATCTGTCCCTGAAACTTTGTTATAGTCATACCATAGGTAAGCTGGATAAGGAAATGACGTTGGTTAAGATGGACCGGTATTCTGACTTGAGTTAACATGTCCAGTGAAACTATAGGGAGCAAGTGAACCCAGCCACGAAGCGCATCTGCGATCACCTCGACTACTATGGGTGTTAAAATGAAATGGAAACTTTTAGTCCCCTACCATTCAGTTACCCTTAGACCATGAGTAACAGCCATTGCCCCCTTTTCATTTCAAACCCCATAATATTAATACTTTGTGTACCGCTCATTGAGATTCCCATTTTTATGTCCTTTCGCTAGTCATTTTGCCTAGCCTATGGCCGAAAACGTGATGACCTTGTAGGCATCGAGCTCTAGGCTAAAGCAACTGAGGCATAGGCCAGAGCGGTGGATGGACGGGGTAAATTGTCCGGTACGCAATGTGTTAATACATTTACGTTTAAGTCCTTCACGATCATTGAGAACGACCTTTGCAAGGACACGCCTATCATAAGACTCCGTACAGGCTCTAGATTTTAGGTTTAAGACATGCAGAAAGAGACCCAGAGTATTGAGAATTTTGAAGCATTGAACCGGGAAGGTGGCCAGCCGATCAGTGTCATCACCACAATGATCGTTCTTAACAATGTCGATACTGTGATGTGGTGTCCACAATTCGCCTTCCAATCGGGACAACACGTCCTTATTGACCAAACTGGAGTGCTCATTCTGACACAGAATGGGCGCATTTGCTTATCACTTCTGTATCGTAGACCCTACGTCGTTACCAAAACAATTCGTTCATCATATCATGGGAGATACGATCGCCTGGTAAGCGCACGGAGATATTAGATCGTCCGGTGCTCATGCAAATGCTTCATACACGACATACTCAAACGGATTTCGACTGATCGTAGTCAAATGATAGACCTCGCTGGATGGTGAATCCCATCCCACCCAGCACAACTACTTTTCCAGCGAATCTGTCATCGTCAATCGAGTTTCGCAACGCCCGTTTCAACGTTAACAGCGCTTCAGCAGGTGCCATCGGCGCTTCATGCCAAGTGATGACGTCGGGAGCTCTAACCATCACCTGATTTTTACGCCATGAATGACACTTTCAGCATATTAATTCGTGTGATTTTTAGGAATTGTTTACCAGTTTCGCTTGCTCCATCGATAACAGCGACGTACTTACCATTCCGAAAAAAGCATGCACTGCTGCATTTCACCAACTTCATCTATATCGTAAACGTACAGTTGAGCATACATTAGTTGCTGAATGAATTAGCGGAGGAACGACATTATCAAATTCATGTAGACCGGTCGTAGTCAAATGGTAGACCTCACCAGATGTTTTGAAGCAGTAAGAACCATTGTCGGTAATGTCAACAATAGTTGCACTGATTGCACCGGAAACCGACGCGTTTGCACTGTTGTACTATCTATTAAACTCGCGAACATTGGGAATATTTTAACTCGGACGGAAACTTCAATGGGTTCGAATGGAACACCATAATGTGATCATGACAAAAACCTTGCCGAATCATTCATTTCGAAGTGGAGAAAGGCAAAACCAAGCAGTCCTCTATAGAGCATTCCACATTCACAGGGTCGAGATCTAGCGGAAAGGCTAGAATGACGTTGGGCGTCCCCGTCAATGCAGCGAGAATATGGGTTAAAGGTTCCATGCGTACGCGCGCTAATCTCCACGCAGGGTTAACAGCCTCATGTTGCTCTACTATTACTGCAGCTCCCCTCAGGGCATTAACATCTTCACGTTGTTCACTGGTCAGTGCACACCTTTGCGGCACTGCCACTTCTCTTCCGCGAGCGCACCGCACTTGCATATTCTTTACACTTTGCGTACCACCCACGGAGATTCTCGTTTATGAGTCCTTTTTTCGAGCCATTTTGCCTAGCCCCATGGCCGAAAAAGTCATAGCCTTATAGCCATCAAGCTTTAGGCTAAGGCAACCGAGGCTTAGGCCAGAGAGGCGGATGGACAGGGTAAAATGCCCAGTAGGCAATATGTTGAGCTGTTTCACCCATACCACCAAGATCATAGAATGGCCCAGGCTTGTAGGCCTAACCACCATGTGGAGGAATTACGGAACGCGTCAAACCTGTGATATGGAAAGGAAAATGGTCGCAGGTCTATCGGTTACCAAGCCTATGATCTGGAAAAACGAAGGCATGGAGGCCTATGGGTTATAAAGCCTGTCTTTAGAGGCAAAAGCTTAATAGGCCAGAGGCTGCATCTACAATGAATCTCATTAGCGTATTCTAGTATGGAATGGATATTTTTTACTCTGACATGGCCAGCAAGACCGTGATGATTTGACGAAATTATGCGCTGAATAAGATTATCAATCTGTCATATAGATACATTTGTAAATTGAGAAATGCGTTATGCAAGTATCGCTAAAATCCGAAATGATAATGACATTCATGCTCTGCCTCTCACATGATACGTTGTAAATGAACTTGAGAAATGTGTGCATTTGTATGATTATTGTGCAGTGTAAACACAAAATGTCGTTTCACCGAAACCATGGATGGAAAGGTCTGACGCACCCTTTACTTAACAGTGATGCTAATGTGCCTTTAGGAATGTCTCCTAGGTTCACTAATTCGTGATATGACTCCGAAGAAGATGATGCAGTTAAAAATATGAATGTGGACATTGTAGAATGGTAATGCGCATTAGAGTACATGTCTTGCATTCCGGAATACGGGAGGCAACATGCGGCGTGTGACAATGAAGAAACGTGAATCCGTATTTGCCAGGAAAAAAAAACTCAGTGCCCACCAGCATGATTCCCAAATTTCCTGTTTGGAAGAATGCCATGCAACGTGACTTAGCTGCTATCTAAATTATTGCAATTCCTATCTCACTAACCCAAGTTGTGTAAAAGTGAGCTGCTGTCGTGAAAAGGAATTCTGCATTTTTTATTACTAAATAACCGCTGTTACATCGTGGACTATGGAGTTATTGGCAGATCCAGGGGAGAGGGAGCGACCCACCCCCCTTCCCCCTTTCCCAATGTCCAGGTTTGTAATCCTTTGGTGAACATAGAAAAAGGATGACATTCCTTTTGGTTATTTTATTTCTCGGGCCTCGTAGTTTTTGTAAATTATGGCCTGAGATATAAACCACCAAGTTCGTTATAAAATTGAAACAGTTGGAAGGAGTGAGGTTCATGAAGGAATGGGGCTAGAAACCCCCCCGCATCGAATAATTTCTCCATCTGCCACTGCCACAGGTCCCCGCCCCCCCTCTCCAACTCCCATTTGCTGCAACTGGTGAACTTGGCTATATTACAGGTCGATCAACCTCTTTGAAATACCTAGGTACACTGCAGGACAATTAATGTGGATTTTTTATATTTCATTATTTAAAAGTAAAATGTATGTTTTTTGTAAAATAAATTAAGGCAATTAATTATTAGTTATTTAATTCGCAACAATTCATTGTTGACGAATCACTAGTAATTTCACAGAATTGTGAGTTAAGAACATTTTTTCAGCTTTAACACATTTTCATAACAGGTAACAACTTAGTTCTTCAATTAACAACATAATTCTACAAAATATTCACTTCAATTTACGCTCAATGTATTGCATATACAGTATATGACTTTCTCGTCCATATGTTACCACAGGGTGGCTGAAAGGTAAATCTCTATTTTAAAACTAAGATAAATACAGTCATTTTCGAATTAGAAGAAATAATTTTGTGCCCCAGGGAAGAGAAATTGATGGGGTTTCATGATTTCCTTTATTACTGTGTTTGCAGTGACCCTCCATGATGACAACATTGAATTTTCGATACCGTGCGCAAATAACAGAAACGTATGTGATCTGGAGGCGGAGGAGGTAAGGAGTTGAATCCAAGGCAATCTCCTTCCACCCCCGCCTCACGACAAGGTATAAAATGTGGAGTTCCTCCTTTATGTTCCAGTAGTGGTGGTGGAGGGAGAATGCCTTGGATATAACTTAATATCTCCTCTGATAATACTCCTTCCACCGTGCAGCTATTTCCACATGATGTCGAAGATTAAATTTTAGCACCTTATAACTTTATCTGCCGCTGATGCAACGATTTATTTTTAGTATCTTACCAGAATCTCATCACACTGGAACATACGAGTATGACTGGTTTGACGAGTTTCAATGACGGAGAGTGCTTAATCGATTGTGGCTCACCGATCATGTCCCCTCTCCCCATTTCCTGTAGAATCTCCAAAACACTCTGGTAGGTGAGCTGAGGATTTTTCCCAAGGAGGATGAAGAAAGTTTCATCAATAAGTTCAAAACTTTTCTTAATGGCTTTCAAATCCCTTTCTTGAACCACCGTAATGATGTGCCTCTCCGCCAGTTTATCGAGGAATATGTTCATGTCGACCAGAGTGCTACCGTGCTTTAACTCTCTTTTCAGTTGCTGCAATGCCATTATTCCAATGTCTCTGTAAGTAACCAGGTGAAAGGACACATTAATGGCAAAGGGGAACTTCTCTAAAGTCCTTCAAGAACGATAGCACCTGCCTCTTGCTTTGCTGAGTGTGTGAAGAGAAAGAATGTTGTTCTTGGAGTTCTTCTGCCTTAGAAATGGCGTAAACCTCTAAAGGAGAAACACAAGTTAATAGCCCGATAAGAGACAAGCTGCTATAATGAATCAGTCATTTAATGAATCGATCCTTCAAAGAGTCAATTCTTCCATGAATCCATCCTGAACCACAATACACCATTCCTGCCTTCTGCACTTTTTAAAACAAATTTCAAATTTTTTTTCTGTTTAGCAATTTTCGAAACATCTATCAGTACAATATCATTTTACTCACCAGTATGGCCCTGAGGTCCTGAATCGGTATCAGTTGGCTTTTCATCTTGGAGATCTGTCACTGTCTTCTTGGATCCCATCTCGTTCATTTCTCCTTGTTCCATCTAAACTAACAATGTCGAGGCGTTGAATCATTGTTTTCAGATGACGTTACTCATTCCTATTCCATTTAGTCCACTCATTCAAGGACATTGCAGATGTTTCACCTGAAACGAATAACTCACACGAAGCACTGTTCATGCAGGAGCTGATATCGTCTTCTAGCCTAGTTCTGCAACCGTATTTGCAGAATGATAGCGACGAACGTTATTTCAGCATTCATGGAGAGTAACAAATTCACGACACGCACTCAGTTACCCCAACGGGTCACTACTGTGGTGGATGACTTTATTAAAACCTTGTGGACTCCAGTCAATACGCATGTCACAAATCGAAGCCCACAATCTACTAGTTGCAAGAAAATTCTCTTCCCTACCTCTCAACCTACCCTGATAACGTTTATCTGTAAACATACTGTATATGTTGTATTATCTCCATTCTCAGTCAATACCCAGGAAGCACGTCCTCTATAAATCATCATATGTTCAACGTTTAACGTCAACGAAGGCTATGTTCTTTCTTCCTCTGTCACGCTCCACGTTTCACCCTTTCGTATTATGCGTGCTATTTGTCATGGAATTATCAAGAGCACAAGGATTTGCATTATTTTATCCATATACCTTCATGAAATGATTTTTCGTTCTGGAATTTATTAGGTCAATCGCACCAACGTTTTTGCGCGCGTAATATCCTTTTGTTTACCAATGAGGTTTAAGCGCGATTGATTGATATCGATTCAATTTAATCCATGTTCATTTATGGAACGTTTTCACTATTGGAAATTTATTTTGGTATGAGCCGACCGCAAGAAACAATTGGGAATGGAAAATCAAAATGGTACATTAAATAAATCGGCTACGACAACGTGTTCGGAATTTTTATCTCCCGATAACGCCTTTCTTGTGTCGGCCCCTTTTTTTCTGCCACGCCCAACCTTGCACAACCATGGCCCCTGACTGTCAAAGACAAGTCGAGGAGGGGAGCAGTGGGAATGTTGCGAAAGAAAATCTACAAGCATCGAGTCTCGAGTCGCTTTTATTCAGTTGAGAAGATAAAAGCTTTTACCACTGACACTGCTCTTGCCAAGCCCAGCAATTTATTTGGTCTAGTATTGTTCACCGAGAACAGCTCTGGATGACTTTAATTCATATTCCCACTATATCAGATTACGTCAATGTGTAGGATCTCGTCAGCTGGGGATTCTATATGGACGTTGATCCGAAGATCGCTTCGAGGATACTCAGCACTGCAGTAGAATTATCAAAGCTAATCGTTTGCTGTGCATTTTACAGCGGGAAATGCAGTTTGAAGACCTTCAGCACTAGTGATTCAAGGGAAACCACTCGTTCGCGTCATCGTCATTTCCCGCTTGGCTATGAAACATATTCCATTCCGCTAAGTGCCTTCCAAGGTCACATGGAAATTAATTGGCTGCGTCTCCTGATGACTGGCACATGTATTTCGAATGTGATTTTTCACCTCGTGTTCTGAGTAGAGATTATCCATCTGATGATGGATAATCAATAATCAATCAATGGATAATCAATCAATTTCAACCGTAACTGGAAAAATATGCTCAGCCATGACTGGTGACTCAGGTCTTTCAGTTCTTTCTGAAGAGGTCCCAAGTAGCACACCTCTTGCTTATTCCATGAAATTGTTTACATTTTGATTTAAAAAATATGAATATTGGGAGTACTTTTATGGACTTAGTTTTAAAGGATTAGGTGCTGACGTTTTTGGATTATTTATGCATAACATCATGAAGAATACAAAAAAGGTGTTCAGAATAGGACCATCACAAGCAATCAATGAGCCAGTGACTGCAAGTATGATATAAATCGTGTCATGCCGCCAGTTTCGTATTTGATGGACCGTCAAGTTTAATCCTGAAATGTAGAGAACCTCCCAACAAATTTGTGCTAGACAGGAGCCAGCGACAGGGGACCTTCAGAGGGCCATCAAATAGCGAGACAACTGTGATGCAAAGGGTGCCATGTCGCTGGTGGACCATCGCCTACATCTCCCAGATGTAGGCGATGGTCCACCAGCGTTGTGCTACCTGGGGCGTCACTTAAGTTTACAACAAATATTTTTTTAAATCATTGATGAGCATATCAAAACTCAATCAGTGAAACACAGTGTGCATTCAGAAAGTTATATTCTTTGGATTGCCATTTTTTTCAACGAACTCTAATCCAAGTCCATGAGAATATTGCGGGAGAAAGTTTGCTGACATCACAGGATGATGTCACAATACCCTTCGATTCAATTGTCCGTGTGAAATCAATATGGGTGACTTCTCAATTTTTATAGGCAATGGCGGCGTCCACCAGTAGCAGAGCCTTTGGCACATGTGGCGCTGAGGTGAAAAGAGTCATTCCAAGCATTCCTGGGTCATCCTGTGGAAAGCCGATTGAAGTGTTCCATAACTCGGCTTGACGTTTTCATGGTCCTATCCTGGCAATTGGCATGAAGTGGAACGGAAGACACGGTCCACGCAATACATTTAGAACAGAGTTGCTGAGAATACAGCCGCTGAAAAATCACTCCATGTCTGTTTAACGTAGAATAAATGCGAAAGGATATTATTGTATTTTAGATAATGCGGTATTCGAGTTTTGCTCTAGTTTCGAGTTTCTCTGCGTTTTCCCTCACCGAGAGCGACTCGCGCTGAAATCCTGGAACATCATTGGGTCGTTCAATGTATAGGCCTTGCGTGCGATGATTTGGTGCTTCTCTAAATGAGCCCTACCCTTAGGGAACTTCTCGTAAGATTACTTTTTTTTTTAGCTTTTTCCCATGTTTTACAGTATGTAGGATTCCATTTCAAGACTCCTGGTTCAAGTCGTTCATGTTATGGATGTTGGAGATATGGTTTTGATTTTTGCCCATGAAGATAAGATAATGTCGTCCCTATCCCCTCGAATCCAAACGTGACTCACGCCTTCGTTCATAACCGGAAAGAAATTCGTTACTCTGCCCCTGTGAAACTGTTACTCAATCGGCATGGCCGTTCGATACGAGCGATTTCAAGGTGACGGGAGCGAGGTGTGCGAATCCCCCGAAGACGGGCGGAAGGTTGCCAAGCGCTCGATGGAAATCCTGAAAAGAATCCGTGATGAATAACGTCCGAATCCGAAGGGGAAGATGGAGGAAGATTTGAAACATAATTCCATGTATCGCGAAGCCTGGGAATCAAGAGCATCCAGGAGCAGGAAGGCCTCAAGTGCATTACGCTTCGCGAGGAAGCGCCGAACTGATGTACGATTGTGTGACTGTTTACCAAGAGGTCACCAGTGATTTTTAGAGATAAATTAATTCCTTGGAAAGGGATGGCATATCTAAAAATTAATGAGTAAATCCAATATTTGTTATTTAAAAATGTATGGAAAGACTGCATGGTTTCTTTTAATCAGCCTTTTTCAGAATATGATTTGCATGATATTATTTCGGTCAAATTTAACTATGAAAGGAACGTCGTCCTTATCATGGACGTTTGTGGAATGGTTTCGTTTATTGCAAATTGTTGCTTGGAATAAGGTTCGGTATATTTATCTCATACATTGCAAATAAAGATTATAACACGTCGTCCTCATCCCCTCAAATCCGAACGTGACTCCGTCCGCAACCGGAAGGAACCTCGTTACTCTGTCCCTGTGAAACTGTTACTCGATGGACGCGGCCGTTCGATTTGCGCGATTCGAAAGCGACGGCAGCGTGGTGTGCGGATCTCCCGATTGCGGGCGACTGGGTGCCAAAGGAAATCCGGGGAAAAATCCGCTTTGAAAAAACGACCTGATCCTTGGGGTAAGATGCAGGAACATTTGAATCGGAATCTTACATATCACAAAGTATGGGAAAACGCTTAAAAAAAAAAATCATGCGAGAATTTCCCAAAGGGCAGCGCTCATTCAGAGGTCGAGAAGCACCAAAATCATTGCACTCGTGGCCTATTCAACGACCCAATGATGCTTCAGGATTTCAGCGTAAAAAAATTCGAGTTGCTCTCGGTGGGGGAAAAACGCTGAGGATTCTAAAGGAATGTCCTATAACTTGAAATGGCGCATTTTCGCCACCGAAGACATCAACGTGACCAATAAATTCACCAGACTTCGCAGACGGTTATCGGTTTGGTGGCGGTCAGAGTTGTTGAGGGGTCATTTCCGTCATCATGGTCAGCCCGAATATTTTTTTGAACCTCAAGATATTTCTTGGCGGAAGTGGATTCACGTTAAAACAGCCGAGGTTGACCGTCGAAGAGATACTCACACAGAAGTCCAAAACGTTTTTCTTTATTTTTTGATTTTAGGCGTAAAGAGAAAGAAAAACTACGAGTGATATACATATTTATGGTCCCTCTTCCAATGCCGCTCCAGCATTGCGTATGACCTTGCTTATAATAAAAAAACCAACTCGAAGCGAAAGGCTTGATGGGCGTTCAATCAAAGTTCCTTTCGAGGTCATGCCATCGTGAACGCCCTTGGGAACCATCCCGCTCCGGAAATCCCTGTCGAAGCGGCTCAGCCGACCTAAATATTTCCTTACATCCGAATCCATCTCCTCCGAAGGATCCAGCCACGCCCAGCGCCCAATGTCCAGCGCCCATTGCAACGGGACGATACGCTCCTCTAGTGAACTTCCCATTCAGTCACCTCGTAAGTTGAATCCTGGACCTCCACCTCAACTTCATCGCTGATGTTCACAGTGGAAAATTTCGTGGCCGCGTGGATGTCTTCGGTGGCTGATCCGCTTGCAGTTTCGAGACATTCCTTTGAACCTTGGAATTTGAACGTGCATCCTCGGTAGAGGGTCACGCGCTTGCCCGGAATATTTGGCCCGCTAAACGTATCAAGCGAAAGCTCCAAACTGTCGTAGGATTCTCTGCGTTTTCCCTCACCGAGAGCGACTCGCGTTGAAATCCTGGAACATCATTGGATCGTTCAAAGCACAGGCCGTGAGTGCGATGATTTGGTGCTTCTCTGAATGAGCGCTGCCCTTAGGGAGCTTCTCGTATGATTTTTTTAAAAAGCGTTTTCCCATGTTTTGCGGTATGGAGGATTCCGTTTCAAGTCGTTCATATTATGGATGTTGGAGAGATGGTTTTGATTTTTGCCCATGAAGATAAGATAATGTCGTCCCTATCTCCTCGAATCCAAAAGTGACTCACGCCTTCGTTCATAACCGGAAAGAAATTCGTTACTCTGCCCCTGTGAAACTGTTACTCAATCGGCATGGCCGTTCGATACGAGCGATTTCAAGGTGACGGGAGCGAGGTGTGCGAATCCCCCGAAGACGGGCGGAAGGTTGCCAAGCGCTCGATGGAAATCCTGAAAAGAATCCGTGATGAATAACGTCCGAATCCGAAGGGGAAGATGCAGGAAGATTTGAAATATAATTCCATATATCGCAAAGCATGGGAAATAGCTCAGAAATCATACGATAAGAAGTTCCCTAAGGGTAGCTCTCATTCAGAGGCCGAGAAGTACCAGGTTATAGCACTCACGGCCTATACTTTTAACGACCCGAAGATGTTCCAGGATTTCAACGCGAAAACTCGAGTCGCTCTCGGTGGAGGAAAACCGAGAGAGTTCTACGACAGTTTGGAGTTTTCGTTCGATACGTT